CTCCGTTTGTCTGTTAGTCTAGGGGTGGAAACTCGTTAAGAGTCTCTGGTTCGTCCCTAGAGTGGCCGTAAATGTGTCCTAATATTTAGACGTGAAGAGCTTATCTCTATCTATAATAAATTCTTCTAGAGGGCCGTATTCTACGAACAATATGCTATTGACTTTATAGGCCAGGTCTTCAGCTGTTATGGACTCTTCCATGGCTCTAAATTTGGCCGCCTTTATTAGTCGATCTACCATCACCATAATAGTGTTACACATCCGTTTTATTCTGGGTTATAGCGATTTCGGAAGTTTCACTATAAAGTCTATTATTATGCTTTGCCATGGGCGTTCTGCTGCTGGTAATGGTTATAGTAATCTATAAGGCTTATGTCTCTTAGGTTTATTTTTATGATAAGCTAAATAGTTACTTATTTCTTTCATAACCATCTATTTAAGTTTAGGGATGGCGTACTTGTTTGTAATACAATGTATTATTTCTTTAACGCCTAGGTGTCCCCATTCTTATAATCTATAAAGTTTTTGTATTAGTGCTAGTGCGTATTTTATTAATACCACTTTTCTTCTAATGTGATCCCACTCTTCTCCGCTTAAGCCGTACTTAAAGAGATCGTATTCTTCCTTTTATCCCTTAGATAGGTGGTAATAATCCTAAAAGTTAAATACTCTAGTTCTGCTATAGCTTAGTTCCGCCTTTCGTACTTTGATCTGGGGGTTCTAATAATCTAGTTTTATTACTCCTTCTTCTAGTTGGTTGTATTCTATGGTTCTATCCATTTGTTTTCTAAGCACTACATTATATAGTTTAGGTTTATCCTTGATTAGGTTGGATCTCCTACTTAGTACGTCCACCGCACCATTAAGAGTTCCTAGTTGATGATAAATCACAAAATTAAAGTTTACCAGGAATTCCGCCCATTAAACTTATCTTCGGTTAAGCTTCTTGGTTGCCATGAAGCTCGTAAGGTTCATATAGTCCATCTATACCTTAATCTTAGTTGGGGCGCCCATTAGTTGCGTCTCCCATTATTTAAAGGCATCTACTACCCCTAGTAGTTCCTTATTGTGAACATTATAGTTTAGTTCTGCCCTAGAGAACTTTTAGGAATGGAAGAATATTAGTCTCCATTTCTTATCTTTATATTATTAAGTGAATACAGCTCCTAATGCGTAGTCTAATGCGTCTATTTCCACACGAGTTTTCCTTTGTGGGTTAAATATCTAAAGTAGGGGTGCCTATAGGAAGAGCACTTTAAGCCGCTTAAAGGCTTCTTTTACTTCTTTCCTAAACCCTACCCACTTATCCTTTTTTATGAGGTCTGTTATAGGTGCTGTTATTTTGGAATAATCCTTAATAAACTTCTAATAGAAGTTAGTAAACCCTAGGAAGGACTAGACGTCCTT